ATGGGAAGGTAACTACCTCAGACTAGCTTTGAATTGTGGATTGTGTAGTCTACAACAGAAATCTTGGCACAGCTATGAATTCTGTAATCTTAATCCTGCCTACCTGCCCTATGGGAATAGTAATGCTAATTTACTTTATATAGGATTGTTTTAAGGATTACTGACATAATTTTGAAGCATCCTGGGTACATTAAAGTGCTATATTATAATTGCCAAAGTATTGCAGCCTTTAATTATTCATCTTTAGTGGACATTTTATTGAAGATCAATTGCACACAGTAATATCTTTCTTCCTTTCAAAAATAAATCCAGCACCAATAATCTATTTACAGTACTGATATTAGTACTGCTTCAATTTTAAAAAGAGAAGCCATGTTATATCTTTAGATACCTTTTATATATGGTGCAGTTGGTAATGCTGAGCACAAAAAAGGAATATTGCTTCCTTCAATGAGACCATAAAACTAGACTACTGTAATGCAGCTGCACTTAATGACACACAATTACTGAGCCACCTCCACATCAATTGTGGACACCTTTCAAAATACATGTGACAATTTTTATTCAGTTGGCTTTTGAGCTAACTACACAGGATATAGGAATCAGTTCTGTATGTAACAGACCTCAATAGGACATTAATAGAATATACATTGTTTCAAAGACTTTCCTAATGGAAATTTAAGAAATATTATTGAACAAGATTGGAAAATTTCCAATCTGGGGAAAGTTCATCAAACATTAAAATATCACACATAGCTTTTTTTGTAAAGAAAGAAATGCTTCTTTTTTATATATCAGCTCTGCCAGACTCTTCGAAAATGATGCAGAAAATGACAGCTATGAGAACTCCATTTTTCCAGCACTATACTAGATAACACAGTCCCAATTACAGATTTGCCTGCAGAAAACATCAGACGCATTGGCAGATACTCTGCATGGAGATCTATGATTCTAACAAAGATACTCTGGAAGAACAGAAACTCATGCATCATATCCTGTAACCCAAAGGTAAGCAACTTGAAGTCTACAAGGTGTTTTGGACTACACTTTCATAATTCCTGACCGCTGGTTGTGTTAGACAGGTTGTATGGGAGCTGTGCCCAAACATCTGGAGGATGCAAGTAATCCTAAAAGAGCCCTAATTCTGAAAGATTTAAAAATAGCAATCACAGAGTTAATGATATAAATCTTCACATTTGGAGAGCGCCACCCTGGGGAAGCTGAGGTGAGAGTCTAAACCAGGAAGATAACCTAGGATCCTCCAGAAACTGGAGCTGCTTTTCAAGTTGCTGTAGGGTTTCAGTGGCCTCCTGTAATCTACAGAGGGAGATTAGCTTTATAACAGAGTGTGGCACTTAATCTCAGCCCTCCTGTTTCCTATTTAATAATATTCTAACAGAGAATTATTAAATATAATTATATATTTGTTATTCAAATATAATCTGAACAAGGTGAAATATTACAGCCCTATAGTCAGTTTTGCTTTTTAATATTTTTTTTCTGAGTGTGAATAAAATTCATAGTCAGGCTTGTAGGTATCTGCATTTATACAATTGTGTTGCCAGGTATTCTTAGATTATGCTGGGCACGGAGGCTGATCTTGTTATCCAAGCAGTTATATGCCAAGATACAACCCCAGATAACAAAACTATGGTTATTGAAAACCTGAACCTCAGGAGACTTAGGTACAGAAGAGAATTGAAGAAAACTGAAAAATCACCAGCTTCACTCTCTTGTTCAAGGTCAACAGTTTAGAGTCTAACCTCTATGGCACACTGATCCTTTGACTGAATGCCAAATTATTGATGTAATGGAATAAAACGTTATTAGTGATAGTACATGCCAAGCTTGTTACAAATAATCCTTAGAATTCTTCCAACTTAAAATTTGCTATATTATCATGTAAGTTATCTTTTATTTATTTAATTATGTTTGCCACAATACCAGAAATATCTTAAGACTTATAAGACAGTATTTAGGGAAACTCATCCATTCCTGAGAAGGTTCACAACAATCTATTTGCCACCAGGCTGGCCCAATCATTAAGAAGGCCTCAGATTGGAGTATTATGAAAAGGGAAGAAATTGATATTTAATGTATTATTCCATTTTTACTGCTAGGATGAAGAATGGGAAAGGAAGGTTTGTAAGATTTTCTGCCTCAGATTCCAAAATAGCTTAGCCCTGGATGGTATGACACTTGTATGACTCAGGGAGTGTCACTTCCTATTTTGTTTCAGGTAACAAAATTTCTTAGGCCAGCCCAGTAGCCAGAATATCCTGCATCTATTTCTATGGTTTTTCTCCATGTCGTAAAGGGCAAAAAGAGAAGTGTGTATGAAGCTTATGTTTGCAGAACTATGTTTTACATAAAATCTGGGTGAGAATAAACACAGCTATCATAGGACCACAAAAGTGTAGAGTTTGCTTTACCCAGGTTATTCCTGCTGCATTTCCTTAGGATTAAGGAAAATATGGCACAATAGACAGAGCAGCAATAAGTCATACAGGCAGAGCACTACACTCAGCGTAGGATGGCATGGAGGAGGAAAGAGGGACCACCACTGGGTGTGAAACTGCAGTTGACCACCTGGGCCTTGAGAAACAGTCTAGTTTAGAGATTACACTAAACCAGTATTTCTCAACCTTGGCAACTTTAAGATGTGTGGACTTCAACTTCCAGAATTCCTTAGCCAGCATGCTGGCTAGGAAATTCTAGGAGTTGAAATCTACACTGCTTAAAGCTGTCAAGGTTAAGAAACACTGCGCTAAACAAAAATGTGACTTGGTTTGAGCTAATAATGCATGAGCCTAATCAGAGTGGTGTATAAAATGAAAATTACGGCTTAATAGTGTTTGAATAGTGTTTGACTGTTTATTCAACTAACCATAATTAAAATTAACTGCTTAGTGCAATGTGCAAATCTTTCCAATGAGCCCTTGGTAAAATAGCTCAACACTTTCATCCTTCAAGATTCCTGACTCTACTAGGGACATGTTTAGTCAACTGAAATCTCCTTTTGTAAATAAAGAACTATTACATGTACACATACACACTTTGTATCTTCATGTTTATTATTATTTAGTATTTCAAAACTAAACAATGAGTTATATTCTCTATCATATCCCAATTACTTCAAAACTACAGGGCAACAGTTTGTATCTCCTTGTTCAGTAATCCAAAACATTTCGTGTTTACCTGATATGGAGACAGAAAATACTAAATCCAAGGAATTGGCCTATACAATAGCTAGACAGTAAATCTTATTAATTCAAGTTTTCTTTAAAAACAGTTGTCAATAGCAAGAGAAGTTTATTCTACCTCTTCCGCTGATTACATCTGCACAGCTGATAAATCAACATCTTACTGATCATCAACATCTTGGAAGATATTATTTGTGTATGTGTTTGGTTTTATT